TGGACACAGTTATCGACCATGTATTACTCTGTGCGGCGGCTATCCACCAACTAACTTAAATACTTACAACAAATAAACGGAGGTGTTTGAATGAAGCTGTTTCTTATGCGAATGCAAATAGATTTATCAAGTTTTATCTGCTAGGGTTATGAAAGTGTTTGGCTGAGTAGATCACATCTCAATTTGACCTTTCCAGGCTCTGAAGAAGGCGAAACCCCCGAAACGTCAGCAATTGTGTTTTAATAAATTCTATATTAACAACCTCGTGTCTGCTTATTGATGAAAAACATTGAATTATCATGAGATATGGTTGCCTCCCGACACCGAGGAACAAAGTAATCGTCACCTTGACTAGGTGGGATTCTGACTTAGAGGCGTTCGGTCATAATCTCCAGATGCTAGCTTCGAATCACTAACCGATCAGCCAAGTCCATGAACGAAATGTCTGAACCTGCTATTCCTTTCGTAGTAAGCAGGATTACTATAGCAACAATATGTTAATAGCAGGGTAAAATTAACCTGTCTCATGACGGTCTAAACCAAGCTCACGCTCCATAGTAGTGGGTGAACAATCCAACGGTTGGCGAATTCTGCTTCGCAATGATAGGACGACATCGAAGGATAAAAAGCAACGTCGCTATGGATGCTTGGCTGCCACAAGCCAGTTATCCCTGTGGTAACTTTTCTGACACCTCTTACCAGAAACTCTCTGGATTAAAAAGATCGATAGGCCACGCTTTCGCAGTCTGTAGTCGTACTGAAGGTCAAGATCAAGCGAGCTTTTGCCCTTTTGCTCTGCGAGAGGTTTTCGTCCTCTCCGAGCTAACCTTAGGACACCTGCCTTACGGTTTGACAGATGTGCCTCCCCAGTCAAACTCCCGCCTGACAATGTCATCGACGAGAGTCATACTGCCACAATGTGACTTTACTTTAACGCATGGGTATTGCTTGCGTGTTTCGATCCATTAAGGTCTGAAACTGATTCTGACGAGTCTAGATCCGTTTCATTATATTCTGAACAATTTCGAATTTATGCGTCTCAAAACTACCTTTATAGTTCCTAGGAGTGCTGAAAATCAGTCTCACAATATTACGATGTTCCGTTGATTTTGGGTATTGCTTGCGTGTTTCGATCCATTAAGGTCTGAAGCTGATTCTGACGTAAATAAGCATTTCTAGGATCCATTATGGTGTAAATTGTTTAGAATATATTAAATCGTATCTCGGAGCATCGGAATCAGCAGCGTTTAGACCTTAATGAATCGAAACGCGCAAGCGGCACCCCAAAATCCACAGACAACCGCTAAATTGTGAAATTGATTTTCAGCATTTTCAGCATAGAGAGTCGTAAAACTCAATTCTCTTTTCACCGAATAAGTAAGGAATCGATGAAATTGGTGGTACTTCATTGACGATCACACGCGAATACGATCTCCTACCTATGCTACACTTCTCATGATTCTTCACAATACCAAACTAGAGTCAAGCTCAACAGGATCTTCTTTCCCCACCATTTTGCCAATCTCGTTCTCATGGCTGTGGTTTCGCTAGATAGTAGTTAGGGTCAGTGAGAATCTCGTTAATCCATTCATGCTCGTCAGTAGTTAGCTGATGAGGCATTCGGTTACCTTAAGGGAGTCATAGTTACTTTCGCCGTTTACCAACGCTTACTCGAATTGCTACGATTTAACATTCAGAGCACTGGGCAGAAATCAGAGACAGTAGGCGTCTGCAACGACCATCTGTCTCCTCTGTTTTAATTAGACAGTCGGATTCCCCGAGTCCGTACCAGTTCCAGTTCGACCGTTTTGATGGTCGATCAGGATACTAAGTCCGAAGGCAAAGCACACACCTGTAAATGTCCATGAGGTGGTCATATCAGTAATCCAGCTTCGGCGCACTTCACACGCACATTTGCTGGCTACGGCCGAAAACTGCACAAGCATCAATTAACAGACCAACCGATTCAGTCACTGGAGCTAATCCCTTTCCCGAAATTATGGATGTAATTTGCCGACTTCCCTTACTTACATTATTCCATCGACTAGAGGTTGTTCACCTTGGAGACCTGATACAGGGATATCGGTACGATATAGCACAGATTAATAACCTTCCTTGATTTTTCAAGGATCGTCCAGAAAGCACGAGACATCACAGAAACCGTGATGTTTCACGGAAACAGCGTTCATATCTACGGCTGGACCGATTCCAGGGAGTCCGTTCCTTAACTAGAGAGGAGAACTCTAGCTCGATCTCTGAGCGACGTAATCAAATTCGAATGTGTTACCGCGCAAGCGAATCATACGAATCTCAATCTCTGTGTCCACGTTAGGGAATATAAACCCAATTTCCTTTTGATATCTGAGAGAAAAGTGAAATTTTTCCCTCTCAATGATACACAGCATAAGCCAGCATCTTAGGATCGACTGAACCACTTTCAACTACTGTTCACGTGGAACCCTTCTCCACTTCGGTCTTTAACGGTCGAACTTAAATATTTGCTTCTACCACCGAGATATGCACTGAAGGGAGCTCTAGCTAGGCCTACGCCTAACGCTTTCAGTGCAACCGCCGCGACTCTCCTATCCGCTGTGGCCATGCGTATATGTTGTACACAACATGCACACATACCAGAAACGGTTGGGTATAGGTCTTTCGCTCAAGCGACATCCATTTTCAAGAGCTTTCGATTTTATATCGTAAAGAAATATAGCGTATAGGTATAGTTGTCGGTTTGTTTAGCACGTCCAAAGTTTCTTTAATAGGGGCCATATTCCGGAGAGGGCGCGAGACCTGTGACGACAGTTGAACATACCGCATGATTATGCCGGAGTCGGGTTGCTTGAAAATGCAGCCTTAAGTGGATGATAAACTTCATCTAGGGCTAAGTACGAACGCGAATTCGATAGCAAACAAGTGCTGTGAAGGAAAGTTGCAAAGAACTTTGAAGAGAGAGTTCAAGAGAATGTGAAATTGTTGAAGTGGAACCGGAGAAAATTGACGTAGTTTGGTGGATAAGTATTGCAAGAATCGGCAGAGTCAGAGGAAACTCTGATGGAAGTCCGTATCCACGGTTCGGACGTGCAAAACGATCAATAGCCTGAGGTATAGGGACGAAAGACTAATCGAACCATCTAGTAGCTGGTTTCCTCCGAGTGCCCGTTTGCTTACAGGTGGTCATCATTTTCTCAAAGGTTGTCTTAGTTTTCTCAGATGTGGTCTCCGTGCATTCTCAACAACGGTCTACGAGTATTCTCGAAGGTGGTCTTAGTTTTGTCCAAGGTGGAATACGTGAGGTATACGATATTGGAGCATTCGGAGATATTCGTTCCATTGAGCGTCAATGGGCTCTGCGAAACCAATCCGTTCCTCATGAACTCTATCATTCCACCAATCAAATATCAAGACTCTATCAAAGTCGACAAGCATACGTCTTGCTTGTCAAATGTTTGGTGTTACAAGGACGATGTTATCAGCAAAGCGAAGATGGTGTAACTGCCGACCATCGATTTTCACTCCCATATTATCCCATTCCAATGTTCGCATAACGTTCTGGAGGGTGGCAGTAAATAATTTGGCGAAATGGAATCGCCTCGCCTAACCTCGCTTTTAACGTCAGTGTTAATATATTTCTATATTATCTTTTAAATATTAGATAAATATTAGAAAATAGATAAATATATTTATCAACCTCGTGCAAGCTTATCAAGAAAGAATACATATTGATTAGTCACACCGAGGTTTAGGGAAGGTCGGTTTCGAAATATTACTACGCTTTGTGCTAGCTGATAATACACCGACCTCTGCACGATGTGCGCAATGATGTATGTCCGGAAGAAATACAAGTTGTTACCACCGGACATTGTCATTATATATCCACCATCAGCATCGTGTATAAAAGGGCATCACTGAGTGAGGATGCCTCATTCGAGAAGATGGCTCGCTGAGGAAGATCTGGCTCGACAGGAAGGTGAAGACGCAACGTCGAGGCGAACAACAAGCATGGACCATCGACTCGGATCACCGGCTCTGAGGAAGACGAAGACGTCGAAACGTTAGCCGAAAATAAATATGTTTATCAACCTCGTGCAAGCTTATCAAGAAAGAATACATAGTGTTAATATAGTTGTAGAATAGTGATATCTCGGTTGTGAAATATTTGTACAGCTCGGAAAAGTCTTTGTGCACAAAGTAGGGACTCCTTGACTATCAAAACTTACTATATGAGACAGAGCGGTCTGTTGCACACTTGCGATACTTCAATGACGTGGCTATCGAAGAGATTTAAGTAGTATTCGTAAATTATTTTCTCCATTCCCCTTCGAGGCGCTGTAACTGTTTCGCCTATGCGTCGGAGTGCAATCTTCTTGTCTCTTGTCCCCTGTCTGCATTGTTTTGCAAGTTCGGACGTTAGCTCGCTGTTGCGCGGTTGCCTGCAGCTCGTGCGAATCCACGATAGCGTATCAGCTCGAGTGTTTTTGGAGATAGACGTCTCTTGGTGATTTTCGAACTGTCAACTTTCATAACGCTAATGTGAAGATGTTGAATGAGCCGATCGTATTCTTCGTCGATGTTGTCGACAACGAGATCTTCCCAACAGTCGGCTAATAAATAATGAATAAGCCCCAGTCTATGGTGGCTCTGGAACTTCGGTTTTTGAATTTAGCGGCTTTTTCTCCTTTTCTCGAGAAACAGGATCTTACACGAATGGGACGATGGTCTGACCCTCTGTAGAATTTTGGAACAACAGCAACGTCGGTTAGGCAAAGCCTTCTATTTACTATGATGTGGTCTATTTCGTTTTGGTGCTCTCCATTGGCAGACTCCCCCACGTTTACCGTTGAGGGTAGAGCCTCTGGAACTGCGAGTTGTCGTGGATAGTCTTGATCGTCATGATAAACTCAGACAGCCGCTCAACTTGTTCGTTCCATTCAAATTCGTGGCTCTTAATGTGACGTTCTTCTTGGTCTAGTCTCCGTGGAGAAATCTTCAATGATGACGGTATAATCTCTGTAGAACTTCTCCAAGTCCATATAGAACGCTTCGACTTCTTCTTCGTAATTGTTTGATGTCGGCACGTAAACGACGAACATTGTCAAAGCCGGAATTGATCCACAACTTTTTAATCTTAAACGTTCGATTTAGGTTGCTAGTTGCTTTAATGAATCAATGTTTATGGACAAATTCGTGTTGAGGAAAACTCCGACGCCGCCGATTCCTCTACTGTTGCATGTTCCGAGGAGCAGTTCTTCTTTGGTGTCATAGACGGCTCGCGTTTTCTCGTTTCGGCCAGGCAGGCGGCGTCGTACTTCATCCATCTCGCTTACGTGAGCTAGTCGTCTATCGAGAACGTAGGTGCAAGTGTATGTGCACAGCAGGTACAGGTCGTCACCTTAGTACTTTGTAATCCAGGCAGCTTCTGAGATTCTGAGATTTTAGAAGACTCTTCGTAGTACTCGCCTTACCCAACTCTGCCAAACTGGGGGTCAGGGGAATGAGGCCCGTTTCTTTTATTATTTTTAGCTCTTTGATACTCATGTATAGTCTGCCGAGCTTTGAACGTGAGGTTGGGCATACTCACAGGCAGCTTGTCAGGTTTTCCCAGAGGAAATATAAAGCTTGTTTGTTGGAGACGACTCCTAACTGTCTCCCATATACTTCGCTGTCACTTGATTTCAGGCTTTCGCCAAAATGACTCATAGAATACAGACCGCATGAAAGAGGGCCACACACGAGTGAATGAGCAAGTAGCAAGTACAGAAAGAATGTGCCAAATCGGTGCAGCAGAAGAAGGGAGTCTATCCCTTGGAACCACCTGCGTCTCAGGATAGCAAAGGTCGCTTTTGGTCCTCGAGCACTTCATTTGCTGGCGCTTAGCGTGGCAATACGAGGTAGACATAGGATATTAAGACAATGAGAAAAGATATTTTTTTCGCACTTTGAATACCACTACAGGGCAGTTTGTTAGTTGACTTTCTACACACTTACCACCTTTATCTCTACGCATGAAAAACTGGAATCCATATAAGCAAATGGAAGAGCAGTAACACTTATCGAATATGCTGTGGAAAGGTTATGCTGTAGCAGCGATGATACGAATAGGAGAAAGAAATAGGAAATCTACGAACAGAACATTAACTCCAAATACTTCTGCAGTGACATTCTGCCTATCAAAGAAAAAGTCGCTCATGAGATTTGATACCGACGATCGAATAACAGTGGGTGCTCTATAATACCAGATAGCGGATATTGTCTACAACCTGAATAGCAGATAGTGAACATTCAATACACTCGTTTCATTGAAACAAAAAATGACATCTCTGCAGGATTCTGCACATAGTTCGAAGTGGTTGTAGTTTAACATAAAAAAAGGTTGGTATGAGGAGCATTTTGGCTTCGTCTACTTCACAGACTGTGTTAATCCACTTAAAAAAGGTATTTATTTACTATACGGCAGTCTTAGAATGTTAAAGTGCAAAGGCAGTTGTATGCGCTATCTACGAAAACGATAATGGTGCCATGTATAAGTCTGAGGGTGACTGAAGTGACACTCGTTACCTTCAACCTAAAAGAAGAGCGAGGGAGAAAGAATGGGAACGAGGAAGAAAAAGAGATAGCGAGAAAAAACATTTTGTGCCTTACCTTTTTTGCTTTTGCCTTTGCGACAACTTTTCAGTAGCTCCAGAACCGTTTTAATAATATAAGCAGCCCTGTTTTTTAAATTTTTAGCAATGCAACCACAAGGTAGTAGCAAAAGATTGCTTGCAGATGTTGGACAAAGGTTTTTTTCTTGCTAGAAGAACACAACGCCTAAAAAGAGCTCGATGTTTTTTTCGAAAGGAGATTTTTGGTGTACCAATTCTAGGCATTCTAACTCTATTGGGAGTAGTATATTTGCAAGGTAGCAAACATACTTTCTATCAAAGCTTTTGGAACCACTCATGGCAAAAAACGTTGGAACGGCCTCGTACGAATTTTACACGGCTCAAGAAGAAAAGAGAAATATTCTACGCTCGTACGAATCGTATTGAAGACGGCATATTCAAACATTTCGTTGTTTTATGAAGGAGATATGATATGCGTGCCAAAAGAGTATCAAATTTTGTTTCGCTGTCCACTTCTTCGGACTACAGAAAGGTATTAGTCAGCGTTCTAAAAACATCGGACTTTGCTGAATGAGGCGTATAAAAACGACGCTGAAGGAGAGAAATTCAATTGCACTTTGAACGTCTATGCAAATCTCCATCATTTTCACGTAGTAGGAAGAAGGAGATTCTCCGTTCCTTCTGAATGATGATAAAAAGTATTGTGACTTGATGTATAGAAAGTTGTCCGATTCCTTGTCCACCCCATTCTTACTCACCTTCTGCTCTCAACCTCGTCGAAGTATTTTTGCTGGATTTTTTCCAGTCGTTCTGTCTCTGAGCGGTACATTGGAGTTCATCAACACAACAGCGTTTTACAAAGTTCTCTACAATAAGTAGGAATGGCACGACATCTTCGATTTTCTTTTTTTGACAAAGTGTTTCTGCTTAGTTTAAGCAAAGGTTACGCAAGTAGAATGTCGAATGGGCAAAGGCTGTCGCATATGTTGCTTAACAAAATCTCGTATAAGGAACCTAATTTATTTTGAGTGAAAACTCTCCATGAGAAACGCTTACGAGGAGTTCGGATGCTTCGTGGCGTTGAAGCAAGGCGTTGTTTTGTCTCACACTGCAGCCTTCTTCGAAACCGAAATCCTCTTCTACAAACAGCTTCATTGTAAGGTTTTCTCCGTCCCTGATGCTTCCCAAACTTGCTCTTATTTTTTTTACTCTTGGTACGATTCCTCCTTGTCTGCTTATTTCCTCAGCAAGTCAACATTTATGATCAAAACTGTGAAGGCGTTTGTTTTAGTTTCATGTTATTCTTGCAACTTTTCATTTGTATGGTTTTCACATAAGCACGTTTGTATTTAGAAGTTAAAACCTAACAGCATACCATACAGTCTTTCGTGTAAAAAAGTGAAGAGTAAGACAGTCCAACTGACTGTACAATGAGTTTCCTAAAGAAATGGGTACGGATTCTTTGCCATTCTCTTCTTATTTGTATGTCGACCACGCCGGTAGTGAACGGTTGTGCTGTACTCCCACCAGGACAAGGTAAAGGATGAGTTTTCACCGCCGTTTTCGAGCTTTTTTCCAATTTCTCACAAATTGTCGTTACAAAGCAGCATTCTATGGTCATTTCAGAAAGAACTGTGAATTTTGTCATTACGGGCTACACTCTGCCAGTGGGGTTCACGTAGACACCAACACGTAATGTTGCTGCAGAGCTCCCTAATATTTTGGGTAGTGAAGCAGCAGTTAGGTCGTCTATACAAAGTCTTGTAAGTATGCAGGCAGTAAGTATCTACTTTTCCCTCCTTTCAGGCCTTAACCGTAGACAAACTTACTTTTCTTTGTCGAATTTTTTCAGGTTTTTGATGCCCTGGAAGAACAGGGTCGTAGAGCGAGAATCCGAGGTGCTATGTTATCGGCTATTTTGCAACAGGTTACTGTCCAGACAACCTATTCGCCAATGAGATGCTTTGTCGCAGGTGTTAACCCAGCAGGAAATACACGAATTATGTGTGAGTCCTGATCATTTCACATTTGTCAGCGCATTACACAAAAGTGAAGGGCATTGTAACTGCCACGACCGACTTTCTATTAACCTCGGCATTGATCAAGTAATTTTCTTCATATTTTTGTTGAGCAAACGCGAGGTGTTACCATTCTTTGTTCACGATTAAGCTGACGTTTCGGCGGATTGCGCCTTCCTCAGAGCCTGGAAAGGTCAAGTTGACAGCAATCTACTTGGCCAGACGCCTCCATAACCAAACAAAGAAACTCTAAACCAAGATTTCAATCACATTGAACACAGCTTTGTACACTCACCGCTTTCTATGAGGTCTCCACTAAGTATGTCACGTAGAGACCAACCGCACAGAAATCACNATCACGCGTGATAATGAGGCATTCTTCCCTGCGGTTCATTTTCGGATTTCTGGAATTAATCCGAAGTGCCTCGAGAGTTTTTCGCCCCTGTGTTCTTGATTCGTGTGCGAGTATCGTGACACATACTTTAAAGTCGTCCCCGTTATGCCTCTGGGTCCAGTGCGTGCCTAGCGGTGTATTTGGTCTATGTTTGCCGGCTAGGTGTTCTTTTATGCTAACTTTTAACTTAGTGGAAACCTCATAGAAAGCGGTGAGTGTGCAAAGCTGTGTTCAAAGTGATTGAAATCTTGGTTTGGAGTTTCTTTGGTTATGGAGGCGTCTGGACGAGTGAGTTGCTATCGACTTGACCTTTCCAGGCTCTGAAGAAGGCGAAATCCGCCGAAACGTCAGCTTAATCGTGAACAAAGAATAGTAACACCTCGCGTTTGCTCAACAAAAATACGAAAAAAATCGCTTGATCAATGCCGAGGTTAATAGAAAGTCGGTCGTGGCAGTTACTGCAAGATGTGCCAGCAAGATATTTCCGACTTGTAAAAGAAGCGCTGTCACTGAGACAAAAGATCGTCTCAGCTCGACAGTCAATACACTTTCTCCGCCGCTGTCTAAAACACCAAGTCGTTCCGAACTTCATCAAACGAAGGCGACTACACGACGTATGCGGTCTACCAGAGGACAGTCACCAAGTATTGGACGTCGAATTACGAATACTACGTACTTGTCTACGAAGCCGACAAAACCAGATGTTCGCCAAGTGGAAGAAGTGCGAGACGAAGGAAAACTTTTGCGTTAAATATTTGGAGGACCATCTCTGGAGGAAAATAGTGAGCGGGTCAGTGTTGATTTGCAACTCTATTAGGTCTAATGCTAAAGTAGCTTTGCGAGGAAAATCTGAAGACCTTTTGAGTAAATCACATAGTACAGCTTCAATAGCGCACAAAAATATCGCTAAAGAACATCAAACAGATCACGTTAGGATAAGTAATGTGCAAGAAAATTCAAGGCTAACCGTGTTAGGAGACTTTACTCTCCCTGACGGTGCGCGCTCGTTATTAGAATAGGGGCAGAGTTTCTCACCATCTGAACCCATTTCTAAGATAACCTTACGTAGGGTCGCATGTGGTTTACATGAACTTCAAGATAGACTCCGCAAAAAAGCTAGAGATGAAGCGCTAAATAGGTGCGAACAACATCAAGTGGGGGCCCTACCAATAGCACCATTTCCCCCGGCGTTGTTTAGACAACAAGAGCCCAATAATGAAGTTGATGTTAATTTTCGGATGTTTGCGAATGAAGCTCTCAAAGTCCTTAATCACTATCGTGCGAAAAGATGCAGCTCAAACCTCACTCCAGTGCAAAAACGTGGCATGCGAGAGGTACGAGAGCTGATAAGGTTGAAAACCATAAGACTATCCGTTAGTGATAAGGGTGGAGAGTTTGTCGTAATTCCTCATCAGTTAGATGTGGAGATAACGAAAAAGCATCTTGAGGATGCTTCGCTTTATCGCCCATCATCTGAGGAGGAATTCAAAAGTAAATACCGAAAATTGAACCACGAATGGGCCAAAATGGCAAGGGCTGCTGGTTTAAAACCATCAGTTATCTCTCAACTTAAAGTTGACTTACCAACATGCTCCGTCTTGTACTTACTTATAAAAACTTATAAGTTAGTAACCAGCGATGATCTTGCGTCTACCGATCCATCACTATTTAAGTTTAGACCTATCAGTAGCTGCGTAGACGGGCTAACGGACAGGATAACATGGTTTTTAACCCTGATATTTAACCAGTTGTTGAAACACATTCCAGCCCATCTTACGAATACCCAGATGTTTCTGGATCGTCTACGTACTGCGCAGTCCAACAGCGCGTGCGTGATGGAGTCCTTCGACGTTACCGCCCTTTATACAAACGTGTCGAATGACTCCGCAATGCAAGCCATACAAAAAAAAAAAAAAAAAAAAAAAAAAGAAATAAACATGTATGGCTTCAGGATAGAGCACCTGATGGCACTCTTAAAGGAATGCTTGAGCTGCTCAATCTTCAGATGGTCTGGAAAGTACTACGCTCAAATAAGAGGGTTGGCAATGGGACAACGACTGGCTCCAAGCCTTGCCATTGCATTTATGTCTAAGGTGGAAGCACCCGTGACTGATCTCGGGCCGCTACTCTACTGTAGGTATGTAGACGACTGCGTTGTCCTTTGCTCAACACAAGAGGAAATGGACAAATGCTTCGAATTGTTAAACGCACAGTCAGAGTATATCAAGTTCACCCGAGAAAAGCCGAAAAACAAATGACTTCCATTTTTGAACGTGCAAATTCACCTATCAGAAAATGGCTACATTACAAAGTGGTACCGAAAGCCAAGTAGTAGAAACATCTTGGTTCATTACCTCTCCTCTCACCCCTCTCACACGAAAAGGGCGCTTATGAGAATCATGTTTCGAACAGCAACCAACGTGTGCACGGGAAGAGAGGAGTCCCGGAACTTGGCACGGCAAATAGCCGTTTCTAATGGCTACGAAACTGTAGCTCAGGATAGGTGTAGAGAAAATCGTAGGCCTCCAAACGACAACTCTAGCGATAGAAGGGTCCTGTTTATCCTACCCTTCTTCTCAAATGATATAAGTACTGCTATAAAACGCTGCTTGAGAAGGGCGGGCTTAGAGAATTCGGTGAGCGTAGTTGAAATACCACCGTGTAATCTTAAGCGCCAGCTAGTTTCCAGGCTCTGAGGAAGGCGAAATCCGCCGAAACGTCAGCTTAATCGTGAACAAAGAATAATAACACCTCGCGTCTGCTCAACAAAAATATGAAGGGCATTGTTTTCAGCTTAGCGAAACCTAGAAATGCAGACATCGGGGAGAATCCTACGTAATGCATGTATTATCGCATAACGGTGATTTTTCCCTAAATGACCTTACGTTACATATTTTGGGCAGATCCCAGCACTGTTTCTATGCAAACCAACTAATTGAATCGACCATTCACGAAGGTCCTTGGATTTCGGTCCTAGTTTAGTTACTGGTGAAAAGGTTTATTAGCCATTACGAAGTTGCTTGAATGATGGTAAAGTGGGATAGCCATACTCCTAAGTATTCTTAGCCTATGTGCCCTAGATTTTAGTCTGGTAGTTCGTTCCTAGCTGGTGTGAGTGGGACAGCGCTTACCAAATAAGTCTTATGGTTACTCTCCTACTTAGATGGATGTCTCCGTGTGGCCTATCCGGGATTGGACCAACGAATTACGCTTATTAAACGGCGATATCATATACTCTCGCTGACCGCTTTCCAAATGTGACTGCAGAAAAAATTCGTTTGGACCACTAAAGATTCGTTTTTCAACAGTCTGTCACCACTATGTATTATTTCTTTGACAGGCTTGCGCGAGGTTGGTGAACAATTTTGCTTCGGCTAAGGTTTCGACGTCTTCACCTTCATTATAGCGTATGGTCCG